AGCCATTAAAACGTCAGTAATGTCGAAGCGCACAGGGGCATTGCACCTTTACCACCTGGAGTCCTACGTGAGTAGGAGGGAAAGGGTAGTGGGGCATAAAGAAGCCTTTGCCAGGAGCCTCACCGCCCGTTTACGCCCTACTTCTACTTTCATATTTAATAGCCAAATGAGTTTTTATTTGCTTTTTCTGAAATAACTTTGTTCAGTGCGTTGGTTATTTTGGAATATTTATACATTTTAATAAAATTGAAAAAAAAAAAAGAAAAAAAAAACAAAGAAAGAAAAAAAAACACTAGAAAACCTAGCATATTGTAAGGAGATTGGTGCATCCAGAGGGAGTATCAAACTCCCATCCGCTTCACGCTACAGAAAATTACAATTGAGGACAGACGATGCAATAGCTCGGTGATGTATGATGGTGATATACCTGTCTCTTATACACATCTAGATGTGTATAAGAGACAGATATATATGTATATATAACCAAATTTATGTCCAGAGCTAACTTATGCTGAATCTAGATATATAATAGGCCTAACAGTGCAGTCGAGGATTGGACCTCTTAACTGAGTGGCTGAGTGGCTTTGCGTGAATAGCCCGCCTCTTACTCTTCCAGTCATGTTGGTGTAGGTAGTCCTAGGCCTAAATGGTGTAAACAGAGAGCTAGTACAAGAAGATCACGATTACTGGACTGCCTTATAAACTTTTAGTTTTAATTTTAGTTAATATTAACTGGTTTACCTTGAAATTTAATATCCACAATCTCATCCAATCACGCAATCTACCGTATTCTAATAATGACATTTGCCTTTTTTTTTTAATGGTGGTTTTAAGTTGAAGTGATTTTTCATATTGCTTGGCGCTATTACATTACACAGCATCGTTGCTACTTAATGCCAATTAGCGACGACGCTGCTTATGAGGAGTAATAATAGTACCGGGATACTTAATGCCAAGTTCTACATATTCTTCTAGAATGTTCATTCTCCCGTAGATCAATCAACATCACTTTCAAAGTAGGATCCATATCACAAGCCTTCAGGCAATAACTTTTTTTCGTGAAGTGTTAATTAGATAAGCCTCATCGGTCGTCTTGCATCTATGCTGCCATTCGAAGCGTTTACAATCTAAAGACCTCTATTGTTATCTAGACAGTTACTTATTTGACACATTCTTGTTCCATTCATGCGACAGTATTTTTAACCTATCAAATTAAATATAGTTAGTAAAGCCATTGTCGCTATTTATTCATCGTTTGAGATTAACCCTCGGGCATTTATTCCGAATTCAACAACACAGACTTTCGAGCTATGAATTGACTAGTGGATGTAAAGTTCACCATGCGACAAACTTTATTTTAATTCCAGGTTCTTAATGTGAAAAATAACTGTAAATCCATGATCACAAATATGTATCTCTGTTGTGAGCAGTGTTGACTCCTGTGGGGAAGAAGAGCATTTGCCACGCCGTCGGACAGGCTTGGACCCCTATGTCGTCCGACGTCACGACGATGTCGTCGGATCAAACATTTAAAAAACGATAATTTCCCTATCCAAAATTGAATAAACGTTATTTTGTTTGCCAATCCCAAATATTGTGGTCTAAAAGCACAATTTAGACCATGTAAGCCATAAAAACTCTCTCAGTCGGCTCCTTGGTTCGTACCCCTCCGTCGAACATGTCGGACCCTTTGTCGGCAAATTTCTGGAGCCACCACTGGTTGTGAGGTTCCTGTTGACTTTCATGGTAGTTTGTAGTAGATGCTAAACTGGTAGTACGAATAACAACATTATTACAAGGCAGTTCATCAGAATAAAACGCAGTGCGAGTTTGATGAGCTTTGAAATTGGCATGTTCGAGTTGGCCAATTTTAGCTGCCACATTGTCTGTAGTATAGTACTTGACTTTTCTAATGTAAACAAAATGAAGAAGTTAATGAACCCTCAAGATAAGTTCGTGAATTTCACTTAAATATTGAAAACCGTAACCGCATCACGGAACAGCAACCAAATAGATAATGTGCAAATACAGATTATTGATTTCTTGCATTGGTAAGGCCCTATTTTTATTGTGATTTTTACAAAGTAGGCCTATTAAAAAAATCAGTTTATGTGGTCATGGTTTTTAGTACACGTAGGAGTATGGGCTACAGTATAGATGTAGAGAAATTTTAATTCATGAGTATATGTGATATTGCCGTGATTGAATCTTGTCTGTGTGATCATTGCCGTGATCCAAATCTTATCCGTAATTACTGTAATAGTTTACTGACTGATTTTAAACGGTTTATGTATCTTTTGTTGTTTGCTTTGTAGTGCCCTGCATATGCTTGGTCCTCCAAGCTGTGACCTGTGATGTATGTTCCATTCTATTTTATTTATTGAATAAAGAATGATTTGAAAAAAAAAAATATTTACGTCATCTACATTATGTAATAATTGATCGTAGGGTAATTCCACAGTCTTTGATCCGTGAGGGATAATATTTTATATTCAGTTGTTAAATGCTATTTATTATTTATCTTATTTGTTAAAATGTATTTTGAAAATTTCTCAAAGCTATAATTTTAATTCAATTAAAAGGATGGGCCTATTTTGCAATTTATTTGATATCAAATATTAATAATGTATATTTGGCGTTAAGAGGTGGACATTTCATGAAAAATGCTGAATATTTTTGAATAGTGAACCTATGTTTTAGAAATGTTCGTTTTATAATAATGATTACTTAACAAATTGTAGTTATTATTTTATGGTAAACATTACAATAATCATCAAATTATAGTATTTTACAAGGAAAAAAAACTCCTTACAGCAGAAGAGAATATTTGAATAAGAAAACCGTTTAAAATTAATGCCCAATTACTGTGTCATCCGCGATGTATACAATGTTTATCATAACAGTAATATAAAAAGATTTTTTTTCTCATTAATTAGCCTTAGGCATACATGTAAATATTAAATGCAGTTTGAAGCTTGTATTCAATAAGGTTTCTCAGATATGTCTGATTATATTCTCTAAACGTGATAATAATTATAAGGATGATATTTTTTTTATTTCATCAGAATCCAACAGTAACCAATGTCACCCTTTACAGAATTGATTAATAAAATATACATGTAATTTTAATGATGATGATGATGATAATAATGATGATGATAATGACTATGATAATTGTTGCCTTTTGATTAAGCAGAATTACAAAATCATACCACCGAGAAATTCTATGTCGCACAATTTGCAAGTACAGTTTCCAGTTAAACACCCACTTCTCAATTCATAGCCTGATAAGTGGGGTTTATATCAAATAATGAATAGTAACAATTGTTTAACAAACTATCTTTATTTTTGATAGACCAAAAATACTGTTGAAACCTTCCTTGCATGAAACGCTATATCAGACCATACAATATTAATTATTATAAATCAATCGTGACGTCAAAACTGTAACTTCGAATTTTATTTTCCTATCTTCAAACGTGCACTAATTTTTAATTAGTGCACGGTTTGCTTGATCTTTTTAGGGTCGTGTGCGAAAGGCCAATTCAACTCATGCTTCACCATATCGCTTATTATTAATTCAAACTTTTCTTGTTAATAATCTTATACGCCCTATGTAATTTCTTAGCTTGACAATTGTTTAAATGCTATTTTTATTTTGTCTTGTATTTTAGTGTTTCTCTCGCAATATTAACATATGGGCATTTTGCATAAGTCGAAAAATGCTCGGGGTCCCACAAATTACAATTGAGGACAGACGATGCAATAGCTCGGTGATGTATGATGGTGATATACAGTAATAGTATACGGTACAATACTGTAGTGGTAAGTAGAATGAGTGTATGTGTAAAATTATAAATATATTATGTGAGTTTGTTACGTCATGTTAATAGATTTGACCATTAGTGTTTCCTTCAGCAGAGTAGCATACCGTATTTGTTAATGCAACAGGGTAACGATCTCAAATTAAACTAACCAAAAGCATTATATATTCATTTCAAAGAAATATTGAGGGGAAAAATAGAGAAAAACAACGTAAGGGGCAAAACGAGCTTGCCTAGTTTGGTTGCAATTGTCCCTCTCAATGACATCGTTCAGAGGGATTAAATAATAAGGTCGAGATAGGTTTGAAGTCACTCGTGATTACAGATACCATCCATATGCAGTTGTGACATCGAGAGCCATGAGTGTCTATAAAACCGAAATATGGTAGCCTTTAATTTGATTTTTTTTTATTGTAAAACATGAGGGGATCTTCTTTTCACAAGCCTTTTATTCGTGTCTATAATAAGGGTTGCTATAAAAGAAAAAAAAAAGAAAACCGAAGACCCAAAAAAAGAAGACCCACAATTTCTTTGCGCTTATATTCGTAAGAAGGCTCGTTTTCTTGTCAGCACTATTCGGTATTAAAAAGAAATGGATGAACAAATTCAGGAGTATTTCTTCCATATTACGCTCTAGCCAATTAGGAATAGAAGAGACGTCGAGATGTAGAGCGATACCGACGAACATAAGCAAAAAATAAAACTAAAATATGTGCCCAAGACGTCACCAACAATTTAGAAACCCTTTTAACCCCGACAACTCTTCTCAATTAATGTCTACCGAAAACATACAGAAGCTAAAGCTAACAAGCGAATGCGATATAGACTGAACTCAGTAGCTACTATCAAGCAAGTACAAAGAGTTCAGTCATTTCCTGGATAAATAAAGGGCAAATATATACATCAATATCTTCACAATATGGAGTGTGCAAAATCTGAAAAAGAATAGAAAGTGCTCTCGATCCTACATGTCAACATACCGAGGCGTATATATTGAATCTACACTTGCAAAAGCAGCAATGAACATAATATTGATCAGCTGAAATTACTTCTAAGAGGACCATCTTAAAAATGCAATTTGGTTTCAGTAAAGAAAAAGGATAATGTTACAATCCGCATATTTTACAAACGATTATACAAGGCGCTGGCGTCATTATTTCCCTGGTCACTGGATACTGAGCTGGCAAATCCGAACATTGTGCAACTTTTTCTGCTCCCTTGGGAGTATCCCTGGTCATTGCTGCTTGAACACGCACGACCCATACATTCAATGCCATACCATCCTACCAGGTACCCATACTCCTGGGTGGAGAGCAGTGGCGTCACGGAATGTGTGGGTCCCTGGCGCTGACTGTTATTGGGAGCCCTCATCATGCCAAGTTCGACAAATTTGCAGGCGTGAGACTTTTGTTCTGTCGGGGCCCCTCGTACCTGGGGGCCCTGGCACTCGATCTCACAATTTAAAGTCCAACACCTTACACACTGGGCCACATGCTCCTACGTAGTGATAGCATTTACTTATGCAGACAACTCTAGGAAAATGCCCAATATCCAAAACGCAAACTACATCTCGCCTTTATTGCCGTTCCCCATGTTGATAGGTCCTACGTCACCTATTTTATTCATTGTGGACAAACACAAAATATGCACGCAATATATTAGGGATAGCTCTAAAATTGCGAACAAGGACAACTATTTACATAGTGGTCTTCTAAATGAACTGAAATGAACTGAAATTAAAAAATAGTGCTAAATTAAACATTTTAATTATGATTAATAACAATATTTAATAATAGAATACTTTTAATATGAAAGTATTCGATCGCTAATAAATAACAAATTTAATATATATATATATATATTTATATATATATATATATATATATATATAGTATATATACAGTATATATAATACAAATCAGTGGTGGTGCTGCATAGGCAAATATCACTTGATCAATTGAGAAAGACCTATGGTCGAAAACGTTCGTGAGCATCTATTTCAAATAAATTGAGGCAAATCAACCACCTCATCTGTTTTTTTACGTTAAAAATGCAAGTACAGGTCTCCTTCAATTAAAGACCACGTTTGGAACCGGGGTTTCCATGGTTTTTAGGAGCTTTGGTCTCTTTGAAAACTTGGGACCACAGAAAAGTGGTCTTTAAATGGAGGGGTCTTTCATTACAGGAAGACCTGTACTTTGGTTTAGGAACACAACAATTATTAATATAGTTTCGAGTATTATTGTTATGTATGTCATTGGCCTCCAGAAATCCAACTTTTAGGTAATCAGGGCAAGAAATATTTTACAAAAATTATACACAATATGTAAACTCAGTTGCCTTACCCAATAGCAAACAATAATTCGTATAAATAAATTCATTATACTCCTATAAACATACGTATATCATTCACCTAAGTTGTGTTGTGAAATATTCTAAAACACCCATTAAGTTACTTTTGAAATATAAACAATCTTGCTAACTTTGAGTAGGCCTTTCGTAACACAACATAACACATGTAGTACGCCGAATATTATAACGTATTCGTCAAGTCCATGTTTGGTTATAATGAATACAAATTAGGAGTTATGTTTAAAAAAAACTGAAGGATTAATAAATATGATCATATTATTCATATTATCCAATTATTCTAATAGGTATACTTCATGATCTGTTACGGTAAAATATATGCTTAAAGTGCTAAGAAAATTTCCGGTAAAATCCAAAAATCAAGTAAAAACCTTCAGCTTCAACACAGCATAATCAGACTAATGATATAAAAATGATGATACAATTTTAAGTGGTGGGCGTGCATCTTATCTGGAGCATGATGATATGTTTTTAATGCCTCGGACCGAATTTATCCAGCAAATTAAGTGTAAATTCAGATCATATCAGTCATTTATTTTTACTCTATTCGCTTGCACAATAATAATTTCAAAAAGACAATTTCGGCTTATGAATACTGTACGGTATCCAATGGAATTATACCACGTTTTATTTAATTGCATATATACTTTTTAAATTATTTTTTACAATATCTGGTAATTCGTCTATATAAAGAAATTGATATATATATATATATATATATAGATTAAAAGGCAAAATACTGGAAAACAACAATGCTGTGGGAAACAATGGCTGGATCTCAGTAGAGATACAAAAATGATAAGCAACAGCTAAAAAGTAAACGTAAGTAAACAGCCAAAAATGACCAAAGTATAAGACTCTCAATTCATCTAGTTATGAAATGGTCAATAAAGAAATCTCGAATCCTGAACAATATTGGAAAAACATCAGTAACCACGCAGCTTCCCTTCTAGCTTCAAGCTTCTCTATTATAATATATTGATAGTAATGGTAATTTTAATGGTTAGAGATTTATATAGCGCATAATACGTGGTCTCTGTGCGCTGTAGTGAAAAAAAAGCAAATTTTATTCTACTAGGTCAACTAAGCTAACCAAGCTAAAATAAATAACCGAAACAGGCTATACGCAGAGGAACAAACACTATCGCACCGCTCACCTGCAATTTAAGACCACCGACAAGTGGTTATAGGTACATGACTCACAGATGCTCGAATAGTGTTGGCATCTGGCTTAGCCTTTCCTAGCAACAAAAGTGAAAAATTAACAAAAAACAGAGACAAATTAAAAGGAAAGAAAAATGTGTGATTGATTTAAGGCATTGCTTGAAAACAGAGAGCAAGGAATACTCCGGAATATAGATGGGAAGTTCATTCCAAAGCTTGGAAGCAGCAGTGGCACTCTGGAGTAAAAATTGTATGCTGGCATGTGGTAGACCAAAGTCTTCTGGAACAGGTTGCTGAACGAAGATGGATTAGGTCACCTACAAATACAACGGTGAGGAATTATGAAGGCACTTGTATGTGAGAACAAGAATTTCAAATGCAATTTAACTGGTAGCCAAACGAAGAGTTTTAAGAGTAGGGGGTGATGTGCTGTACTTTGGGTAGTTGTTTGACAAGACGGGCTGCTGTGTTTAGTTGAAACTGTATCTTCTTGATTAATTTGTCCGGTAATCCATAAAGAACCCCGTTACAATATAATACAATAGATGTTACAAGAGAATGTACCAGCTTTGATCAACGACTGCTACGTACCTGTAAGCGTTTAGTTGTTATAAGCAAATCTGGCAGCTCTTTTTCGGACCGTTTCGACGTGCTTGATGCCGATGGTTTGGTATGGTGGTATACGAATCCAAAACAATGTGGGAGAATTCTAAAAGGGGCCGATGCCGATCGTCAGTCTAAATACGGGAATCTCCTCCATCTCCGTATTTAAGGGCCAAACTTGAAACTCATCTTTTCTCATTTATCTAATTGTTTTTTCCCCTTTTTTGATGTTGTTGATGGTTTTTGTTGGTTTTTTTTTTGTCTCTTCTTCATTTAATTTTTTTTGTTTTATTCAATTTTGGAATTTTTTTTAGAAGCGCATAGAGAACTAGTATCATGCAATACAAGTTTACAACCATTACCATTACTATTACTCTTTAAATTTAAGTTTTAAGATTTATATTGCATCTTAAAAAGTTTAGGGAGCTTTTCGATTCAAAGTTAATAAATGACATGCGTGTTTCATCGACGATCAGTTTACACGTATGCCACAATAGGTATTGGCCGTTATTAGTGTTTGTCTTGAGCATAATAATAATAATGATGATAATAATAATAATGATGATAATAATAATAATAATAATAATAATAATAATAACAATAAGAAATATTATTATTATCATTATTACTATACCTTATGATGCTGATAGTGATTGGTGATGATGATTTTAATGATCATGATGATGCTGATGATGACAATAATGTCGTGTATGACAATGCTGACGAGGATAATGATGAAACTTTTCGCAACACCTTTACTACTATGTTAACCTTTACTACTATTTTAATAAACGCATATGTCTAAATAATTCAATGATATTTTGATAGCATACAAAAAAACCCTACGGATAGGTTTAGTGAGATGTAAATATTTTCTGCACATTAATCACCCTGGACGTTTGTGATAATTACTGTATTACATATTATACATAACCAGTAAAGAGGTATTTTTGAATCATTAATGCATACATACAGAAAATAAATTGAATTACTCTTTTCTTTTTTGCAATGGAATATAGTAGCGCCTAAATCTATTATGACTAATTAACTAAAAGCAGTATCTACTACAACCCCCTCTACATTTAAGGAGCTGTGTTCATTTCGTGCGTGTTAATCATGTTTTAAGATAATTGTATGTTAATGGATGGAAGAAACATTTGTTATTGGCAAAGACAAAAATAAATATTTGTAGTTTAATCAATCTTAGAGAATAAGACAATGAGTATGTAATATACTCGGCCACAAAAGAACCAATTTGTTATTTAAAAGTAATAATTGTATTACCAATAAAAAGTATTAATTATCATCATATTATTTGAGGTATTGAAGTTATTTTTGTTTTTGTTTTTGTGCTTTAAAGTCGTGCGGGAATTCACTTCCGAATGTGGTCATATAAAGGGATACTGGACTTAGCTTCTAAGTAGCCAAATTATCAAGCTCCCTAGCAACCATGCCTAAGTATGCCTGCATGACACATCCAAGTAATATCAATAGGCCTACAAAAGCCTGAGGTCACTATCATAATATGCTTGCTGAGATAAAGTACGAAGTCAAAACTCCAAACCTTTACATTAATAATAAAGCATGAGCTTGTACAAGATGAAACATATGCCTATGTATGTTAAAACTCTTTTGGGCTATTAGAATCATAATTTTATACATGCGAAACGTCTTTATGATTATTGTCATCGCCTTAATGTAAATTATAGCTCTTCGAAACAACCTTACTTATGACTTAAATCAACACAAAATGTCTGATTATATGAAATTACAGTTTGAAAAAAGAACTAACGAGTCGCCTGTCGCACGCAGGCTTGATAATGAATAATATTGATAATGCTAGGAAGGCAATTCGACAAGCGCACATTCTGGAAGCTTCATGCAATGAGTATAATATAGTATTAGTTTGATGGCGGTAGATGGTAATAACAACAGCGTTTTATTAAAATGCAGTTAAATGACTTGCAATTATAGAACCGTTTATGCATGAGTTGACGCGTATCCGCCTGCTTCATTTCAAGTAACCCATTATTAAGAACACCAAAGCTTGTGTTGCAATAGGATAAAAAGTAAAATATGTTACTAAAAAGAGAGTAAAGCAAATCGGTCTAAAAATTGTGTAGAAACCGGGAATTATAAA